CATCCCAGTGTCAGTCCGGCAGCCGTAAATTGTAAGTAATTCCAAAACCAAAATATGTATGTGTGTATGCGATGCGTCGTAAGTAAAAAAAATCTGCAAGTAAGTAGTAATAAGTAGTAGGTATGCATATGCAGCAAAGCAACGTTCTTTCGAATTCTACTCGCCCCGTACTGTATTATGTGCGAATCCATCCGTCTATCGTCCCCGCCTTCTAACACCTTCTCCTTCTCGGTTGGGCCTTGAGCAACATTGAGATGGCCATAATAGCACAAGACACCCACCCGCTCACCCACCGACTCCCACTCAAACCACCTCGCTCAGCGCGCCCAACATCTGCCCGCTGCCCCTCCGGACCCACTCCGCCGGCCCCACGCGCTCGTCGGTGTTCGGGTCTCCCGCGAAGAGGAGATCGTTCTCGGGGGAGAAGATCTGTAAAGGGGGCGATTGTTAGCGTGGCAGACGGCGAAAGGAGGTGGGTGGGAAGGGGGCACGAGCACGAGCACGAGCACTCGGAATGCGGTGAGCATAGTGTCCGTCGACGGTAGGACCGAGAGCGCAGACACCGCTGAACGCACTCCCCCGCGCAAAAAAAGCGGTGCTAACAAGAGCGAAACCCCGGCCGATACAATACTCACCCATCGATCCGGCTCGGGCGCGCTCGCGCTGGTAATGGCGCGCAGCTCATTGCGGATGATGTTGTGCGTGAAGTGGTCGAGGTTGAGGTCGTTCTTGTCGTAGCCAAAGGGGTCTGCGCGGGAGGGGTTAGCGTTGGGACGAGGAGCGAGGAATGGGGGGAGGGAGAGGGAGAAGGCATTCAATGGACGGGTCGGTCGCTCGGTCGTGGTTTGGTCCAACGAACGGATGCGTCGCAGGGAGCAGCATCCTTGTTCCCGACCTCGTCCAGCGGCATCGATGCAGCGAAGAGCCGCTGCTCGGTGCGTCGCAGAGAGCAGAGCAGCATCCTTGTGCCCAACCTCCAGTCCAGCGGCGACGAGCAAAGAGGAAGGAACTCCGCTGCAGCGAGGAGCCCCTGCTCGTGCAGCCCATCGTCTTCAACTTCAGCGCCAGCCGACGAATCCCCTCCTCCTCTTCCAAGCACCCTCCCCCTGCCCCCTAAAAATAACAAATCCAAAAAAAATACGCACTCTCAATCTCCTCCCCAGCAACCAAAAACCCAAAAAAGATAAACGTGAGCAGGATCGTCGCGGGGATCGTTGCCCAGTTCATGGTGGAGAGGATTTGGCTTGGCTGGAAAAAAAGAACAAAGTAAATAAATTAGTTGGGTGAAAGTGAATGAGGGGGAAAGGGCAAGGAGGGCGCGGGTGCAGCGCCTCACGCACGCCCGTCCGTCGCAGCAGAGACGGACAAGGATAAAGATGCCCATGACCACTGCCCGCGCATGTCCTGACCTGACTCGGAAACGCGATCCCCATCCCCACCGGGCGCGAGCTCACGCCGAGATAGCGGCGGTGGCGCGAAGGAGCGGCGTCGGATAGAGGGGAGAGGTCAAGGTCGGACCATCCACCGACACATCGGGGACGCGGGCGACGTCGGGACGTGCGGGTCCAGTCGGCCGTCCGTCGTACCGGAAAGCAGAGTAGAGGGTCAAAACACCCAGTACCCCACGCGGGGACGCGGGATCCCCATCCCCACCGTTCGCGAACCACAAGTATTGGCAGCGGCTCAAAGTGGCGGCAGGAGTAGCTCGAAGGAACCGCAGCGGATGCAAGGGGACGGCGCAGCTTGGCCTGCTTTGAGTCGGTGTCAACGCCAGACTCGGACCATCCACCGAGCGCATCGGGGCCATTGAGCATAAGGGGCGAAGACGCCGTGGCGACCGATGTCCATGGGCGTAAGGGGGTAAGGCGAGCATCGACGTCCGCTGAGCACTACCCCCAACGTAGTCGCTGTCACCTCGCCCACACCCATTCGCGTCGCCTCGCGCTCTGCCCCCCACTCTCGCGTCACAGCCATCTCCCGTGGTAGCAGTCAAGCCCATCCCCGCGCGGGTACGCGAGATCCCCACCCTCACCGTCCGCGAACGCACGCCGAGATACGACGTAAGTAGCAGCAGCTCGAACTAACCCAGCGGAACGGCGCGCTCTCAACGCAGACTCGCACCGTGCTCCGAATGCACCGGGGACGACGAGCCCTCGCGACCGATGTCCATGGGCGTGATCACCACTGGCCCCGCAACCCATTCGCGGTCACCTCGCGCTCTGTCCCCACTCTCGCGTCACAGCCACCTCTCGTCTCTCCGCATTTCCCTCGAAGGCCACTGTCATCGCACCTAATACGAATCACAAGACCAAAAGCAATCAAAGCACCAAGGGATCCCGGACGCCTCGAAAGCACAGACCAAAAGAAAGAAGGAAAAAGCGGAACGCACCAACGCCAGGCAGTAGATCGTCGTCACGACCCATAGGTGGATGGAGTACCTGTGTAGATGGGTGGGGGTCAGCGCGCGTTCTCGTTGCGTAGTACAAGGTGCGGGTGGAGAGCGGCGAAGGGAGGTGGGTACATCCAGCAGTTTGGGGTGAATGGAAGGGGGGCGAAAGGAAGGGGGAGAAAGCAAGAAGAAAACGGAAAAGCGCAAGAAACGCAAGTAGGGAGTGGGGGGGACTAGTACTCACGAGAACGGAATGGGTGTGGTTAGGATCCTCTCCAGGCCCGTGAGGGCGTCGACGAGGTTGTTGAGCGAGGCAAGGAGGGTGTCTACACACGCAATCCAATCAATACTCAGTTTTTTTTTTCCTTGGCGGCAACGCGGGGTGGAAAAGACGCACTCGTAGTAGGCACGTCCGTCTGCTTGCGGTGCTGCAACGCCGCGATGTACGAGCTCTGCCCAACAATAGTTAACATATGAAGGCGCCAAACAAAAAAACAAAAGAAGAAAACAAAGGACGCAACGCCCACGCACCAAATACAAGCTAACCTCCAACGGCAAATTATGGCTCCCCCCTCCACTCCCCGCACTCAGCTTCGCACGCACGCGCGCAGCCTTCTTGCCCTTGACCTCGCGCCCGCGCTTGGTGAGGCAGCGCACGAGGAGGGAGAAGGGGAAGAGGTCGAAGAGGTGGTATTTGGGCGGGAGGGAGCCCGGGAGGAGGAAGGCTTCGTCTTGGCGCGCGAGGATGATCTGTGTTTTGTGTGTGAGTACTTTCAGTATAGTACTAGAGGTGAAGGGTACAAACCTTCTGCGGCTCGCCGGGGTGCGGCCCAGAGCGCATGGAGCGCACGGACCTGCTACTGCGCAGGTCGGAGCTGCCCTTGCGCGTGCTGAGCATGGGCGGGGAGAGCGGCGCCGGCGGCAGATTTGCGTTCGGGTTCTTCTCGTCCGTGGGCGAGTTGAGGCGCGTGGGCGGCGAGATCGTGAGCGGGGGCGGGGTGGGCCGCCCCTCCGCGCGCTCTGGGATCCCGGGGATCTTGGCGGCGAAGCTCGTGCGTCTGTCTCTGTCGCGCGACTCTCTGGCGGGCGAGGAGGCGGTGACGGGGAGGGGGAGGTGCGGGGCGGACATGGAGGAGGGCGGGGAGCGCTGGTAGAGGAAGGAGCCAGGCTGCCCCGGGAGGGAGGGGCGGAAGCCGTGCGCGTGCGAGGCGTCGGAGAAGGTCGGCGAGCGCCCTGTACCCGCGGCGTCCGCGCCGTTGGTGAGGTCCGCGTTGGAGGGGATGCCCGTGGGGAGCGCGTACGCGGGGAGAAACTTGACGAGGTAGTAGAGGTCCTGGTAGTAGATCCCGTCCTCGCCACGCAGGTAGTGCTTGACCGCGACGCCGAACGCCTCGAGCAGGTTGATGACCGTCTTCTTCTCGATCATTGAGCGCGCCTTCATCGTCTCTGCGTCGTTGTCCTTCGTTGCGGGTTGGTCTGGCGTTCATTGGCACCTGGTTTATCTCAAGGGTGCGGTGAGACGCACCTGGGACGTGGAACCACACTGTGCGCGCAAAGGTGCGGCTGGCCAGGATAATCTGGGACCAAAGCTTCCTTCCCTCATTGTATCGCTCAAAAGACGAGGTTGTGCGATAAGACACGATGAAACCGAGTACGGTACCGATGCTAAAGAAAAGTTAGATTTCCTACCACGATAAGGTTCTGCGGAACGCACACAGTGAGCAACGTCGATGCAAGGCGAACCTTGAACTTGTGGTGGTCGAGGACGGTGATGACGGTTGACCAGGCGGCAAAGAACATGAGAATGTGCCAGCATCGGAAGAGGGCGGTGGCAAGCAAAGCGTTGAAGAAAGAGGCGCCAGGACGTCGACGGGGTGCAAATCTGCATGTCAGGGTTACATTAACTGTCTAGGACTTGTGGGCGCAAGAAGACGCACGGATCGGGAGCGGCGGCGAATCCGTGGTGGGTCAGTGTCCCTGCCCGCTGCAGCGTCGAGTCGTCAGTGAATGGATCGTCCATGGAGAGAAGGGAGAATTATTTACACGGGGAGAGGTCGGGTTCATGATACTACGGCGCTCCTTTTTTGCAAGGCAATCGCAAAGTCAAATATTCCACCGCGAATCATTTGATCGTTTGTTGCGACGCTGCGCCAAGTTCATCTTCCCCGAGTCGTCCTCGCCGCCAGTCATTGCTGGTCCAACAGGCAACCGCGGTGCTGGATGTCCGCATTCAAGTTGCAAGAGGAAGAGAGGGTCAGCAAACGCGATCACGTGATGCGGCGCGTCGGGACGCGGCGAAATGGTCGCAGGAAGGGTGTTGGTGTCAGAGAGCTCAGCCCTGCGTTCTTCGGCGCGCGTCTTTATACCACGTTGACTGGCAGGCAGGCAGGATATTCCTGTCACCGATTAGGGGCAGCGCGCGACGTCGACAGGCGACATCTACGTGGATGCAATAATTTCGACCCAATTAAACGTTCAAACTTCTAAATTTTTCCGTTCGTATGTACTTCAGTAGTGGATAAATGAACTCGCAAGGGTACTCCAACAAATTGCTTGTAGTCAAAACAGTCTACACTTTTGGGGGAAAAAAAGTGTTGGAAAATCTCGCCAAAGGCTCGGGCCTGATTCGAACAGGCTTCTCCTGCTTGATGGGCATCTGGATTGGTTTGCATAACATACAGGCGTGGACCATCCACCACCGAGCCTTTCCTACGTCCAATTCAAGGTCAATACATGCAGCATTATCTGTTTCTTCCAAAAAAACTGCTGTACGAAACCTACATGGCTCGAATCTGATTCGAACAGGCTTTCCCTGCTGATATTGGAAGGCATTCTTATAGAACACAGGTGTGGACCATCCAACACCGAGCCTTTCCTACCCGTAATTCAAGGCTGATATACACGGCTTTTCTTGAGCTCAGTTTGATAAAAAAACAACGTTAGACGACATCGTATGGCCCGGGCTCGATTTGAACAGGCATCTCCTGCTTAGAGTTTCTAGAGCACCCCATGGAGCACAGGTGTGGGCTATCCACCACCGAGCCTTCCCTACCTCTCATTCAAGGTTAATACACTCAGCATTTCTTGGGTCAGTTCAACAAAACATTAATACCACAAATGTCATGGCTCGGGCCTGGTTCGAACAGGCTTCTCCTGCTTAAGTCAACTTGCATATGCTCACAGAAGACAGGTGTGGACCATCCGCCGCCAAGCCTTTCCTACCTCTAATTCATGGCTGATACATGCAGCATTTCTTGGGAATGGTTCAATAAAAAAGCCTTAACACAATTACTTTATGGCTCGGGCCTGATTCGAACAGGCTTTACCTGCTGATATGGTCTAGAACACATAGGGAACACAGGTGTAGACCATCCACCACCGAGCCTTTCCAATCTCTCATTCAAGTTGAATACACACAGCATTTCTTGCGACTGGTTCAATAAAAAGGTAGGAAGATACACCATGGGCCATGGCTCGGGCCTGATTCGAACAGGCTTTCCCTGCTTGATGTGAGGAAGCACCTACAACATACCAGTGTGGACCATCCACCACCGAGCCTTTCCTAACCCTCATTCAAGGTCAATACACACCACATTTTCCTGGGATTAGTTTGATAAAAAGGTTGATCTTAGAAACATATTATGGCTCGGACCTGATTTGAACAGGCTTCTCCTGTTTAAATCCAGGACTCTTGCAAACAAGGGAACACAGGTGTGAACCATCCACCACCGAGCCTTTCCTACCTCGTCCTCATTGTCAATACATGCAGCATTTCTTGGGTCAGTTCAATAAAAAAGGTATGTTGGGGGGACCACCCTATAGCTCAGACCTGATTCGAACAGGCTGTACCTGCTGATATGGTCTGGAATACATACGGAACACAGGTGTGGACCATCCACCACCGAGCCTTTCCTACCTCTAATTTAAGGTCAAATATATGTAGCATTATTTGTTTCCTTCCCAAAAAAATCGTTTATACAGGCAACCCCCATGGCTCAGGCCTGATTCGAACAGGCTTCCCTGCTGATATTTCTAAAGTGCCTCCATGGAACACAGGTGCAGACCATCCATCACCGAGCCTTTCCTACCTCAAAGTCAAGGCTGATTTAAGTAGAATTTCTTGCAACTGGTTCAATAAAAAGGTTGGTCAACTGCTCGGGCCTGGTTCAAACAGGCTTCTCCTGCTTCATAACTCAGAGCTCATAAACACAACACAGGTGTAGAACATCCACCACCGAGCCTTTCCTACCTCAACTTCACAGTCAATACATGCAGCATTTCTTGCGACTGGTTCCATAAAAAAGGGAAAAAGTCGATAAATGCCGGTCGATGGCTCAGACCTGATTCGAACAGGCATCCCCTGCTTAGATGCATTGCGGATTTTCCACAGGACACAGGTACGGACCATCCACCACCGAGCCTTTCCTTGCCCTCATTTCCGGCAATACATCCAGCATTATTTGTTTCCTTCCCCAAAAGGAATCCTTACGAAAAGCTAACGGCTCGGGCCTGATTCGAACAGGCTTTCCCTGCTGATATCTGCTAGGGCACAGATTTATGAAACACAGATGTGGACCATCCACCACCGAGCCTTTCCTACCTCTAATTCAAGGTCAATACACGCAGCATTTTCTTGGACAGGTTCAATAAAAAACATTGATATCAACTCTCCCCCATGGCTCGGGCGTGATTCGAACAGGCCACTCCTGCATAACATCAATTAAAGCTGTTTACAACACACAGGTGCAGACCATCCACCACCGAGCCTTTCCTACCTCTCATTTGAAGTCAATATCTGCAACATTATTTGTTTCCTTCCCAAAAAAAAAGATTATATGAGCAACTTCCATGGCTCGAGCCTGATTCAAACAGGCTTCTCCTGTTTAGATTTGTGGTGGATTCTCCACAGAACCCAGGTGTGGACCATCCACCACCGAGCCTTTCCTATCTCTGATCCAAGGCTGATAAGTGCAGGATTTCTTGGGCCGGTTCAACAAAAAGGTGCAACAACCATATGGCTCGGACCTGATTCGAACAGGCTTCTCCTGTTTGAAGAAACTCCATTCGATTACAACATACAGGTGTGGACCATCCACCGCCGAGCCTTTCCTACCTCTAATTTGAGGCCACTACATGCAGCATTTCTTGGGAACGGTGTGATAAATATATTAACGCCGCTGAACTTTTTTTTTTTTCGAAAAGATTCCTAACTAGGCTTGGGTCTGGTTTGAACAAGCTTCTCCTGCGTAGTGCAAAGCAAGTCATATACAACATACAAATGTGGACCATCCACCACTGAGCCTTTCCTACCTCAAATTCAAGTTCAATACACACAGCACTTTCTTGGGACTGGGTCAATTGCACAAAAAGGTTGAACAGCCTTGGCTTCCATGGCTCAGACCTGATTCAAACAGGCATCTCCTGCTTCAATACCCAGAACTCGTGAACACGACACAGGTGTGGACCATCCACCACCAAGCCTTTCCTGGCTTTCATTCAAGGCTGATACATCCAGAATTTTCTTGTGACTGGTTCAATAAAAAAGGTGCAAGTTCGGTATGGCTCGGACCTGATTCGAACAGGCTTTCCCTGCTTAATGCAGGACAAACTCACTCATAAGTTACAGGTGTGAACCATTCACCACCGAGCCCTTCCTACCTCTTCTTCAAGGTCAATACACACAGCATTTCTTGGGTCAGTTCAACAAAACATTAATACCACAAACATTATGGCTCGGGCCTGATTCAAACAGGCATCCCCTGCTGACATATCCTCGAGGCAAGCCATGGAACATAGGTGTGGACCATCCACCACCGAGCCTCTCCTACCTCTAACTCAAGATCAACACATGCAGCATTTTCTTGGGATCTGTTCGATAAAAAGGTTGATGGCCAGAAAGACGGACTATGACTGGGGCCTGATTCGACCAGGCTTCTCCTGTTCAACTCTAGAATTCCGGAGGCCCAGAGAGCACAGGTATGGACCATCCACCACCGAGCCTTTCCTATTTCTCTTCCAGGTCAATCCACACAGCATTTCGGGGGACTTGGTTAACAAAAAGGTTGAACAGAGGTCTTGGTGCTTATGGCCCGGGCCTGATTCGAACAAGCTTTCCCTGCTTAGATCTATCACTGATCTTCCACAGAATACAGGTGTGGGCCATCCACCATGGAGCCTTCCCTACCTCAAACTCAAGGCTGCTTTAGGTAGAATTTCTTGCGACTGGTTCAATAAAAAAAGTTACCAAGACTGGTCCGATGGCTCGGACCTGATTCGAACAGGCAGCTCCTGCTTCCATCATCAAACTCAAGCACAGAATACAAGTGCGAACCATCCACCACCGAGCCTTTCCTACCTGTAAATCAAGGTCAATACGCACAGCATTTCTTAGGTCAGTTCAATAAAAACAGTTGACGATCAATTATGACTCGGGCCTGATTCGAACAGGCTTCTCCTGCTGATATCTCAGAGAATCCATGGAATCCAGGGATAGACTGGCCACCACCAAGCCTTTCACACCTCAAACTCAAGGTCAACACATGCAGCATTTCTTGGGAACGGTTTAACAAAAGAAAGGTTGATTGAACTACACCTTATGGCTTGGGCCTGATTTGAACAGGCTTCTCCTGCTGATATCTCACAGAATCCATGGAATGCAGGTGCAGACCATCCACCACCGAGCCTTTCCTACCTCTCATTCAAAGTCAATACATGCAGCATTTCTTGCGGCTGGTTCCATAAAAAAAGAAAAAAGTTGATGAATGCCGGTCGATGGCTCGGACCTGACTCAAACAGGCTTTCCCTGCTGATATCCTCCCGAAGAAGCCGACATACAGAACACAGGTGTGGCCATCCATCACCGAGCCTTTCCTACCTCAAACTCAAGGCTGATTTAAGTAGAATTTCTGGTGACTGGTTCAATAAAAGAAGTTACCAAGACTGGTCCGATGGCTCGGGCCTGATTCAAACAGGCTTCTGCTGCATCACAAGAGGCAAGCAACATACAACATACAGCTGTAGGCCATCCACCATCAAGCCTTTCCTGACTTTCATTCAAGTTGAATCCATGCTGCACTTTCTCGGGATTGGTTCAAAAAGGTTGATACTGAAACACTAATGGCTTAGACCTGATTTGAACAGGCATCTCCTGCTTAAATTTGTCGTGGATCCTCCACGGAACACAGGTGTGGCCCATCCACCACCGAGCCTTTCCTACCTTAAACTCAAGGCTGATACATGCAGCATTCTGCTGGCTGGTTTAATAAGAAAGTTGCATGAAGCTCTATGGCTCGGGCCTGATTCGAACAGGCTCCTCCTGCTTCAATATTCCATCTTCACAAACTCATAGACAGAACACAAGTGTGGACCATCCACCACCGAGCCTTTCCTACCTCGTCCTCACGGTCAATACATGCAGCATTTTGGGTCGGTTCAATAAAAATTCGGTGCAACCCCCTTTCATGGCTCGGGCCTGATTCGAACAGGCTTCTCCTGCTTTAATACCCAGAGCTGATGAGCACAACACAACACAGGTATGGACCATCCACCACTGAGCCTTTCCTAGTACTTCTAATTCAGCATCAATACATGCAACTTTTCTTGGAACTGGTTCAAAAAGGTTGAGAAAGAGCACAATTCACCCTCATGGCTTGGGCCTGATTCGAACATGCTTTCCCTGTGTAACGTGAAACAAATAACTAATAACATACAGGTGTGGACGATCCACCACCAAGCCTTTCCTACCTCTAATTCAAGGCCCATACACACAGCATTTCTTACGCCGGTTCAATAAAAAGGTTGAAGTAACAATCCCCCCATGGCTCAGGCCTGATTCGAATAGGCTTTCCCTGCTTGATGAGAAGCAATTGGACTACAACATACAGGTGTAGAGCATCCACCATCGATGTGGAAGCGCGACTCGCCCCGCTCATCGCCTTCGGGTTACGAGCCAATTCTACACGCAAGCCAAGTTTCTCAACACAATACCCCTCAAGTTTATTTTATTCACACATCCTATACATTTCGCTCGTTTTGCATTTACACTCACTTTCTTCACTCTCATACCCCCAGATTCTCTCCATCTCTCCGCGCACACCTCATTACATATTTACACTCAAGTTATTCAACCGAACAGTTCAAGTACAAATATCTGTTTATCTGCCAAATATTACATTACAGACATTTCACACTCTACCTCACATTCCTTGCTCGCTCACCTCATATACCACAGACTCTCCATATTCTCTCATATGTACCGCCAACGCAAGGAGTTGGATCCAAGTCATCGGCCTTCTCAGACTACACCGGGGATCGAGCCGACTATGGCTTGGGCACCCATATGTCAGCGTCTTGCGGGGGATGTGCTCTCCCTATCACGTCTTTGCGTAGCTCCCAGATGGTTCGCTTGGCGACAATTTTCCTCTGAGCTTCGGCTTTTCAACCAACGGACAATTTGTGTACCACTGTTTTGTACTATTTTCATCGCATCATTACCTCACCTTACCTCTTTACCTCTTACCACCACGAATCTACGCTTTTGCTGAGTACTTCGCGTGAATCCACGTTCCTTTGAGTCTTTTTAAGCTAAGTTTCACATTTTATCTTCCCTAGTACCTGATCTACGCCTACCTTGATTATTTCCCAGCCCCGACACTTTATTTTCACCTCAAGCCTCAACAGCCGGCCAGCACGACCTAGACACCACTCAGGTCTACCAGGAGACCTACCCTTACTTTTACATCGAGCCTTTCCTACCTCTACTTCAAGGCTGAACATGCAGCATTATTTGTTTCCTCCCCACAGAAAAAATGTTTACACCAGAAAGACACACCATGGCTCGGGCCTGATTCGAACAGGCTTCTCTTGCTTAGATCTGGTCCAGATTTTCCACAGGACACAGGTGTGGACCATCCACCACCAAGCCTTTCCTAACCCTCATTTACGGTGAATACATGGAGAATTTCTTGCAATTGGTTTGAAAAAAAAAGTTGATGACAGAGCCACGCTCGGGCCTGATTTGAATAGGCTTCCCCTGCTTACACTGGGTGCACACTACCGTTTGCGGGGCCCGCAAATTATAAGCAAATTGAAAGCAAATTTAGAATTTGCTTCTCATTTGCTTTCAATTTGCGGGGGCCGCAAATATTAAATTTGCTTATTACTTGCTTATGATTTGCTTCCAATTTGCGGGTCCCGCAAATGTCAAATTTGCGGACCCCGCAAATTGGAAGCAAATCAGATGGCCAAACAATCCAAAAAAGGCAAATTTTCAGGTCATCTGATCATTAGGATCCTACCCTCAAGATTCTGATGTGCTGCATTGGGTAATTATTCAGATTCCTGGGATTCTGATGTTCAGCCTTATTCATGATCATGCATATTTGAACAGACGAGGGCAAGAGGGAAGCAACATCAAGGAACTGGGAAACTCCAAATCCTGTAAGTACCACCCACCTTCCTCTCACAATTTCTTAGTTAACTGACCCTTCTGCACACTTCTCACTCCTTGTCCTCAGACCTTTCACAGTTCCATTTGAAGCCTTCCACTCCCATTTTGAATGTACGGTCTTTTGAATTGCCTGCTGCCTTTCAGATTCAATTTCAGTCTTATCTCTCACAACGTCACTCCAGATCTTGCGCTTCAAATTCTTCGCTCCAAGTGACTCTAACACACCGACTGAACTCCGACCGCAATAATAAATCCCAGCAGCACTTATGTTGACTTCAATTCAAGCTGGGCTCAACTTTCACTCCATATTCTATGCTGTTCACATCTGACCGCTCTGGAATCAACTTGAGGGCCTTCGTAAACCTTTGCACACCTTTCACTTTAATTTGTTTCAAGACACTATGTATGTCCTCACATTTCTTTGGATCTTGACTGACTGACCCCAGGGATAATCTAGGACCTTCACTTGGCCAATATCCTTCGATCTTTAACTGGAGCCATTGTCCAGATTGACTGCTGCTGCACAGAAAATTGACTTGCAATTTTGCCCAAGGTCTGTTCCACTACACTTGCATCCCAGCCATTAGACCTGGAGAAATGACCTCAAGGATCTTATTACAAGTCATTTCTGCTAGAGAAACTGGGCTTTTTTGACTATGAGAGATTCCAGCTGTATTAGTGCTGGTTTGTATTTATTACTATGCCCTACTCCTTTTGCTACACCTCTCAAAATTTTCTTGCATTTATCAGTGGCATATTGGTTGAGACCAAATTAAATCAGGCCCTATTTGTCTGTATTTATCTGTCATCCCAAAAAGGAATCCTGTGGTTCAACCCACTGACTTTAGCTTGTTTCTCGACACAGTTGAACCTGAGAGCATCTCATATGCTGTTTATAAAACTCAGTGAAGTTAATGTTTCAGAACAGAGCAGATTCTGAGCAAGAGCTTTTACTGAGGAGGACATCACTCAATGATAATGGGATCTGAATTGGGCTGGTGGACCCCTAAACCATCAAATCACCATGGCCATTTAGTGTAGTTGGATTCATGTTTGTTCTGCTCTTGCAACTGGATTCAAAAAGATTTTGTGTTCAAATCAGCCGGGAGTCCATTTTTTCTGCCCAAACATTATCGTCGCCTGATCACGTGGACCTAGAATCAATTCTAGGCCCACGTGATCATTTATACCTAATTAGAACTAACACATGGAAGTGCTATTAAACCACGATCAGTAAAACATAAAAAGAAATTCAGATTATATCAACATACCTGGGTTCAAACAAGCAACACCCTCTTGAAGATAAACAACACTGAAAGAGTGAAGTTGCATGAACTTGTATTGGACTTGAAGGGCCGTCATTGTCAAACTGACCTGGAGATTATCATCAAAGTTCAATCGACCCAGGTCTGTGTTGTTGCCATTCGTTGGGAATCTTACACCCAACTTACTTAGGCAGTCCTGTATAGTTCAACTTGAAGTTGTTCAACGTACTATTATCAATCATCTCGGGCCTCCGGAGTCATCCTTCTATCAAAATGAATGTGGTTGTACAGGGCTTCACACAGATACTGATATTCACACTTTTAATACTGCTGTTTCTATTATCCAGTTTCTTCTGCTTTACCTTGTCCAGTCCAACTCGTGTCAATTTCAGTAGTTCAAGTACCTGAAAATCAACTCAACTCAACATCCAATGTATCACCTGATTTTTACCTGATCACGTGAACCCAGGATCGATCATGGGGTCCACGTGATATCATTTATACCTAATTAGAACTTTGCAGAACTTTTGTTCATCTCAAGATTCTCAACTGAAGAAGAGACTAAAGTACTATCTGTCCCACTGCAGGTGGCAGAAGGAGGGAATGGGCCCCGTTCCCTTCTTCTGCTGCCTGCAGTGGCACAAATCTATCTATGGCAAGCGATAAAGACATTGGGACAGCCAAAGACTAGTGCTTGAATCTCGGACCAAAACAAGGTTCAATTTGATTCACAGTAGGTATCCAGCTTCTGAGTTGCGGAGTGTTCAACTGACTGTTACTTTGTCTAAATCCTTATCCCTCTTTCACTGAGCTTCAGCGTCAAGGATTGTTTTAGAGATCATTTAATTGCAGTCAATACGGTGTCTTAGTCTATTGGTACAGTCTCTCTTTGTTGCAATTGAGTTGGTTGCCTGAGGTCTTGGGTTCGAACCCGATGGATTGTACTTTTTTCAGAGCTGGCGCAACCTGATCACGAGGACCTGGATTTCCGTCCAGGTCCACGTGACATCCTTTATAATACAACATTGCAAAACTTTTGCTCATCTCAGGATTCTCAACTAAAAGAGACTAAACTACCATCTGTCTCACTGCAGGTGGTGAAAGCAGGGAACGGGCCCTGTTCCCTCCTTCCGCCACCTGCAGTGGCACAGATTTATCTACAGCAAACAATGAAAGATGTTGGGGTAGCCGAGGACAGTAGTTCAAAAGGGCACTAAAAAAGATGAGTTGGTGAATTTTCAGAGGCAGAGATCAGGACACACGGTGTGGTTCAGCATGTTATGACCACTGGATGAAAAGCATAACGGCAATTGGTTGAAAGTGCTCTGCATAAAACAAAAAACTCAAGTTGAGCCAGATGCACAAAAAGAATAGCGATGAACATACCATTCCTTGCTCCGTGCGGAAGATGTGAGCCAGTAGGTCGTTCTTGGCCATCACTGCTTATGCGGAACAAAGAAGTCGAAACATTAAGCAGGGACTGCAAAACATTGGGTTAGTGTCCTCTCTCCTATGGCAAAAAGAAAAGAAGGATGAGAGTCTTGCACCTGGGTACAAAACAGCCATTGCATGTGAGGGAGATGCGAGCCAGCAGGCCGTTCTTGACCATCACTGCCCATAGGGTGCGGAACTACAAGGAGAAACACAAAAGAGCAACTGCAAAACATTGTGTCAATATTATAATTCCAGCCAAAGAAAATGTAGGAAGCTGCGCACCTGGGCGGAAACAGTTCTTGCAACATGAGGAAGATGCAAGCCAGCAGGCCGTTCTTAACCATCACTGCCAATGGGGCGCAAAGAGGAAACAATATTTAAACAAAGGTCCCTGCTGCAGTCTGCAAAGGGAAATATGCTGGTCCAAAAAGGAATAGTGAGTCAAAACCTGCAGTGTGAAGGAAGGGTGCATACTTCTTCAAGACAGTATACTTGAGCATCTGAAAAGACTGCTGAACCTATGAAAAGTTTAGAAACTCACAAATATCCTTTTTCCTGTAGCTGAGTCACTCAAAGACTCAACACCCGCGCACACTTAACTGTGATTGCAGGGGGGTTCCAGGAAAACTTTGCGAAGGAGATCATTAAAAGTCTCCCCCGACACGCACAAGATTGCACGCATCGGGCAAATTGGCCCACTCCGTACATGACCAGACGAGTGTCAAGTATGTTGGCCCCATACTCTCTTCTCTTTCCCGGCTACATGGGGGCTTCATGCAGAGGACTGGTCACAGGGAGGTAGGTACTGAGCAAGCTCAGTCCTGGGGCAGGATGTGGCTAACAGGGGAAAGAAACTAACAGCAAGAATAAACACACCAGGAGAGGTCATTTGTCTCACTGCTACAGGCAGCCGGGGTCATGCCGGCTCATGACCCTGGGTGCCTGTAGCAGTGAGACAAATTTCCAAAGTGTAGATGCATGTGGAGGAAAAGAAAGAGCTATGTCCGATCAAAAGAGGATCAGTCCTTTAAAATAGCTGCTCAGTAACCATCACAATTTTTTGATCATCATCTGCATGCTTTCTCCTCATGTGCTGACCTCTGCTCTTAGCTCCACTAATGCTTCATGCTCTTGCAACCACTATCTGTGAGGGAAAAACTGTACCAGCTTGAATCTGGGTGTGTCCACATTGAACTTTGTTCTCAGTTTAAATGCCGGTTCATCAGTATTCAATTTTGTGGTGATTTCGAACTGTCTCTCAAGGCCTTGCACTTCAAATTCTTCAATTGTGCCCAAATTAAGTTGTTGAATTGCTTCAAGCTGCACTGCTATCACCTAACTTTCAAGTCATGCTACTATGTCCCATCCATTTTATAATTCACTGACATTAGTTCTAATCAGGTATAAATGGTCACGTGGACCTAGGATCCATCCTGGGTCCACGTGATCACAAGATTGCATACATTTAGCTAAACATTTGCTTCTAGACATACCAGTTAGCAGTTGAAAGGCACCATAATCTCCTAGGCTCACTGGTGTGGTATCTTACCACTACTTTTGTGACAAGATTTTTAAGCTACTGTGCTCCAACAATTGATGGTGCATTGAATTGCATTGAATAGGGGAGCTCAATTCTTGGCCCATCTGCCCACTTTTAATTCGGCCTGCATTTTAAATTTTGTTTAAAACCCAACAGCGCTCAAGTGAATTTGAGACTGGTAAATCTGTGTCAGGGTACAGGCATGAGATCTGTGCCAAATTTGGTCAGGCTAAACATTGGAATCCTAGGAATCTGAATAATTACCCAATGCAGCAGATCAGAATCCCGAAGGTAGAATCCCAATGATCAGATGACCTGAAAATTTGCCTTTTTTGGATTGTTTGGCCATCTGATTTGCTTCCAATTTGCGGGGTCCGCAAATTTGACATTTGCGGGACCCGCAAATTGGAAGCAAATCATAAGCAAATAATAAGCAAATTTAATATTTGCAGCCCCCGCAAATTGGAAGCAAATGAGAAGTAAATTCTAAATTTGCTTTCAATTTGCTTATAATTTGCGGGCCCCGCAAACGGTAGTATGCACCCAGTGTTAATGAAACACATTTCAACTATAACATACAGGTGCAGACCATCCACCACCGAGCCTTTCCTACCTCAAATTCAAGGTCAATTCATGCAGCATTTTCTTGGGCCGGTTCAATAAAAAGTCCATGGTCAATGGCGGTCCATGGCTCGGGCCTGATTCGAACAGGCTTCCCCTGCTTAATGAGAAGTGATTTGGCTACAACGTACAGGTGTGGATTATCGACCACTGAGCCTTTCCTACCTCTAATTCAAGGTCAATATATGTAGCATTCTTGTGACTAGTTTTAATAAAACACATATGACCACATGGTTCTACTTTTATGGCTCAGGCCTGATTCGAACAGGCTTTCCCTCCTTAATGCAAGAGATCATCTGACTATAACATATAGGTGTGGACCATCCACCACCGAGCCTTTCCTATGTCTAATTCAAGGTCAATACAAACAGCATTTCTAGGGTCAGTTCAATAAAAATCCTGTTCGGCTTCCTTCATGGCTCGGGCCTGATTCGAACAGGCTTTACCTGCTGATATGGTCTGGAATACATACAGGACACAGGTAAGGATCATCCACCACCGAACGTTTCCTACCTCAAATCCACGGTCAATATGTGCAGCATTTTTGGGAATGGTTTAACAAAAAAACAAAAAAAGGTGTGACCAGATGATTCAAATTCTATGGCTCCAGCCTGATTCGAACAGGCTTCTCCTGGTTGATGATTGCAAGGATCAGCTCCATAACATACAGGTGTGAACCATCCACCACCGAGTCTTTTCTACCCCAAACTTAAGGCTGATTTACAGCCATTTGCGGAACTTAGGGCGCGGGGTGTTTTTTTTTTGTTCACACTTTTCAACGAGAATGCTTATTTTGAGCTCAATTCTTGTCCGTTTGCATTAAGAATACGCTCATTGTGTCTGCAATGAAAATGCGGAGGGCACCACAATCTTCATTTTTCCTGATGCGATCATACTTGCCTTAGTAGGCAAATATCGGTAGTTTTGTAAAGAACTTGTCGCATCCTCTGTGTTGTGGTCAGATTGACCTATAAATTTGATACAACATCCTTATAAGTTAGTCTCCCTAGTCAGACCAAATGATCAGCTTAGTTTTTCTGAAAAAAAAAAAAAAACCAAAAAATAAATGGTCTGATTCCACTCGCACATCAAAAGCCGTAGGTCGGCCTTCCGGATTAGGTCAGTCCCAAAACGGATAGGTCACATGTGACATTCCCCGTCGTGTCTACTACATCGCGTCCAGTCGCGTCTGCTCACCCTTTCTATGGCTCAATCCGACTGGGTTGTCACCTGGGACAATCCTACGACCCCCGCAACACACAGCCTGCCCAATTCCATGGTTAAGGACCCGCCTCCTGTGCTTACCCGCAGTCGGCTTCCCCAGATAGCCTCACGGGTCCAGTGGTTGAATCCCACTTCTGCGGCACCATAGAATTCGGCAGCAAATCCCCAAAGAAAGTCTTTAATTATGCTGCACCGAAAAAGCGGTCCCGGGACGTCACAATAGTTCTTTGAGATGGTAATCCTGACGACAATTAACAGGAAAAGGTACGCCGTCTTGGCAGAACCGGTCGGTGTAACAGCTACAAAGTCTACACTATCCAGAACCTTGTAAATTCCGTCAATCTGGTAGTGATGCGGCTCGAAATTGGGGATGACATCAAGGCAGATTTTACGGGCCAATGCAAAGCCCATTCAGAGTAAAACTTGAAGGCACGGCAGAGAGACAATATTTGGAGTAGAAGAAGCAAGAGAACCGGCACAGAACTGCGCGCCGTCGCATGCACCACTGGACGTGCGGTGAAAAGATGGTCGTGTTTGACAGGCACGTGATGTTTGATATCACCGAAGCGCGACCTACGGCTAACACAGAGCAACTAAAACTAGACTACTTATAAGTATTACTGAGGGCTAGAGATACCGGTATTTTCAATATGTGCTTTAGTTCACCGGTATTCTGCATTCTCATGGTGAGGGATATCTGAGTACCTTGTATATAGGAAATAGATACGATATGAAAGATACCAGTATTTCCAGCCCTCTGTAATACACCCAAGACCATCATCTCAAAATTCTAAGTCAGTTGGATACCTATAGCTATCACACTCATCATTCTGTACAAAAAGGCCGATATTTTCCCAATAAGGCAATTCTGATTGCATCAGCGAAAATAAAGATCGTGGTGCCCTCCGCATTTTCATTGCGGACAGAATGAGCATCTTCCTAAGGCAAACGGCCAAGAACTGAGCTCAAAATAACCATTCTCGTTGAAAATTGTGAAAAAAAAAAAAAAAAAAAACAGCCCGCGCCCTAAGTTCCGCAAATGGCTGTAATTGGAATTGTTTTGAGATTGGTTTAATAAAAAAAGTTAATGAACATTGACAACAACACTTGATAGCTCACATCTGATTCGAACAGGCTTCCCTGCTGATATCTAAAGAAGAAATCAAGATATGGAACACAAGGTGTGGACCATCCACCACCAAGCCTTTCCTACTTCATCCTCACAGTCAATACACACAGCATTGTCTTCGGATCTGTTCAATAAAAAAGGTTGACTGAGGACCCCGCACTATGGCTCAGACCTGATTTGAACAGGCTTCTCCTGCTTAGATACAACATGGGTTTTGCACAGGACACAGGTATGGACCATCCACCACCGAGCCTTTCCTATCTCTCTTCAAGGTCAATACACACAGCATTTTGGGAGACTGGGTTAACAAAAAGGTTGAACGGGGGTCTTGGTGCTCATGGCTTGGTACTGATTCGAACAGGCATCTCCTGTTGATATCTTCAAGACATCCCACGGAACACAGGTGTGGACCATCCACCACCAAGCCTTTCCTACCCTAAACTCAAGGCTGATGCATACTGCACTTTCTCGGGACTAGTTTAATAAGAAGGTTGATTACCAAGACTGGTCTCATGGCTCAGGCCTGATTCGAACAGGATTCTCCTGCTGAAAATCTTCAGTACTACTTTGTACATTCATGGAACACAGGTGCGGACCATCCACCACCAAGCCTTTCCTACCTCTAATTCAAGGCCCATACACACAGCATTTCTTACGCCGGTTCAATAAAAAGGTTGAAGTAACAATCCCCCCATGGCTCAGGCCTGATTCGAATAGGCTTTCCCCGCTTGATGAGAAGCAATTGGACTACAACATACAGGTGTAGAGCTCGAGCATCCACCATCGAGCCTTTCCTACCTCTAATTCACGGTCAATATATGTAGCATTTCCTGGGAGTGGTTCAAAAAAGTTGAACAATCTTAACGCGGTATGGCTCGGGCCTGATTCGAACAGGCTTACAAAGTTCCCGCTTGAATATCGGAGTCCTTATGAATACAGGACACAGGTGTGAACCATCTACCACCGAGCCTTTCCGTCCTCTAGTTTAAGCTCAATACATGCTGCATTAGCTGTTTCTTCCAAAAGAAAAAATCACGAGCATGGCTCGGGCCTGAATTGAACAGGCTTCTCTGCTAATATCCCGCGGAAGCGGCTGACATATGGAACACAGGTGTGGACCATTCACCACCGAGCCTTTCCTACCTCTCCTTCAAGGCTGATACATGCAGCATTTTTTGGGGCTGGTTCAATAAAAAAAGGCTGATCTATGATGACACTATGGCTCGGGCCTGATTCGAACAGGCTTCTCCTGCTTGAAGAAATTCCATTCGATTACAACATACAGGTGTGAACCATCCACCACCGAGCCTTTCCTACCTCTGTCTCCAAGACTGACATAATACAGAATCCTTGGCCCTTTTTTGGGGGGGTTCATAAAAAATGTTCTGTGGAAACAACACCTTACTGTTAGCGACTGGGTATTGGGCCAGTCGGGCTAGTGGGCCATTTGGAAAATATAAGTCCCTATGTTCCGGCACTACGTGATTTGGTACTTGTAAGGTAGCCGCCATCCACCCTCGACGAACGTCACGTGTGATTTCCTTATTGGGTGTAACGGTGAAAAGTAATTAATATTGGAGGAACAAGGAAAGATATGGGAAATCGTCTCGACAAATATCCTTGAATCCATCTATTTCATTTGTAGAAAAAAATGTGGTCCGGCCGACCCTCCTGTGCAATGTAGTTACAAAAGTTTCAGCAAGCCTCGTCAGGCCATCATTATTGATGGTAAATCGGGTGTTGGATCAATCTGTAACTAGATATTCCTCGTGCCCATTATGCTACAAGAATCATGCCTATAAAACATTTATAAGGAATATCTTGAACTTGGTCGAAGGGTTTGACCCAATTCACGCTGCATATTGTTGCAGAGAGGTTTTCGCCGGAATAGGAAATATCACGTGACGTTTGTCGAGGGTGGATGGCGGCTACCTTAGAATGGAGTATGATGTATGTCAATGTTGTCCATCAAATTTTGAGGCAGGGTGATGTGTTCATGAGAAGCTGTGCTCCGTTTGTTCCCGGTAGGTGGGTGAGAATCAATCATTTCTTATCTCCGAACGCCACTCGCGCTCTTCTTTGCCTTCGTTCTCGACCAATTCTCGGCCGATTCACAAGTTTGCAGTCATCGCAGTCCAACGTGTGCAACGGATGCCCGCATTCAATTGGAAGAGGAAGAAAGGGTCAGCAAACACGATCACGTGATGCGGCGCGGAAAGGGTGTCACTGTCAGAGACTCAGAGCTCAGCCCTGCGTTCTTTGGCGCGCCTCTTTATACCATGTGACTGGCAGGTGGAATATTCCTGTCATCGATTAGGGGCACCGCGCGATGTCGACAGGTCCGACATCTACAGGGATGCAATAATTTTGACTCAATTAAATGTTCAGACTTCTGCAGATTTCCCTTAGTATGTAGTTCAGTAGTGAATAAATGAACTCGGAAGGGTACTCCAACAAATTGCTTGCAGTCAAAACAGTCTACACTTTTGGGGGAAAAAAAGTGTTGGAAATCTTGCCAAAGGCTCGGGCCTGATTCGAACAGGCTTCTCCTGCTTGATGCATGTGGATTAGTTTGCATAACATACAGGTGTGGACCATCCACCACCGAGCCTTTCCTATCTCTAATCCAAGGTCAATATGTGCAGCATTTTCTTGCCACCTCAATGAAAAAGTTGAACCTTCACTGTCGCTCAATGGCTCGGACCTGATTCGAACAGGCTTCTCCTGCTGATATCTTCTAGAACATCTTCCCATGGAACACAGGTGTGGACCGTCCACCACCGAGCCTTTCATACCTACAATTCAAAGCCAGTATATACAGCATTTCTTGGCCCAGTTGGATAAAAAAGTTGGACTCGACACAACATCATGGCTCGGGGCTGATTTCGAACGGGCTTGTCCTGCTCAATACAACAAATCCCTTGGTTGTAATTTGTAGGTGTGGACCAGGCACCACCGAGCCTTTCCTGCCTCTAATGGAAGGTCAATACACACAGCATTTCTTGGGAATGGTTCAATAAAAAGGTTGATTAACTGCGTGCTCATGGCTCAGGCCTGATTTGAACCGGCTTCCCCTGCTTGACAAACCTAGTTAGCACCATAATAACATACAGGTGTGGACCATCCACCATCGAGCCTTTCCCATCTCGCCCTCGCCATCAAGACACAGAGCACTTTCCTGAGACTGGGTCAACAAAAAGGTAACATAACGCTGACGGCTCATGGCTCGGGCCTGATTCGAACAGGCATCTCCTGCTTATATCATCAAACTCAAGCACAGAATACAAGTGTGAACCATCCACCACCGAGCCTTTCCGACCTCTCATTTGTTTGAAGTCAATACAAGCAGCATTTCTTGGGCTAGTTCAATGAAAAAGGTTGATTGAGGGCAACGCACTATGGCTCAGACCTGATTCGAACAGGCTTACAAAGTTCTCGCTTGAATATCGGAGTCCTTATGAATACAGAACACAGGTGTGAACCATTCACCATCGAGCCTTTCCTACATTTCATTCATGGTTAATGCATGCAGCATTTCTGGGAACGGTTTGATAAAAAGGTTCAAGTAATCGGAAATCACCCCATGGCTCGGGCCTGATTCGAACAGGCTCCTCCTGCTGACACTTCCCAGAGGGTGTCTTATGGAATACAAGTGTGGGCCATCCGCCACCGAACCTTTCCTACCCTAAATTCAATGTCAATAAATGCAGCATTAGCTGTTGCCTTCCCCGAAAAAGAAACGGTCCCAGGAGAAGTACCCATGGCTCGGGCCTGATTCGAACAGGCTTTACCTGCTGATTGGTCTAGAACACATACGGAACACAGGTATGGACCACCCACGACCGAGCCTTTCCTCCCTCCAGTTCAAGGTTGATACACAGAGCATTCTTGCCCACAGCATTTCCTGGGAGTGGTTTGATTAAAAAGCATTGATTATCAAAACCAAAGAATGGCTCGGACCTGATTTGAACAGGCTTCCTGCATATCCCATCAAACTACCACACAGAACACAGGCATGGACCATCCACCACCAAGCCTTTCCTACCTTGTCCTCACGGTCAATACATGCAGCATTGTTTGTTTCCTTCCCAAAAAAAAACCATTTGCAAGAGAAATTCCCATGGCTCGGGCCTGATTCGAACAGGCTTCCCTGCTGATATCTAAAGAAGAAATCAAGATATAGAACACAAGGTGTGGACCGTTCACCACCGAACCTTTTCTACCTCATTCAGGGCTGATACATGCAGCACTTCTTGGGAATGGTTCAATGAAAAAGTTGAACCGTCACGGTCGCTCCATGGCTCGGGCTTCATTCGAACAGACTTCTCCTGCTTGATTATCATGAGGATTAGTCTCCATGACATACAGGTGTGGACCATCCACCACTGAGCCTTTCGAACCTCAAACTCAAGGTCAATACATGCAACTTTTGCTGGGCCCGCTCAATAGAAAACACTGAACCCAGATTATGGCTCGGACCTGATTCGAACAGGCTTCTCCTGCATAATGAGAGGTGAGTGACCTACAACACACAGATGTGGACCTCCACCACCAGGCCTTTCCTACCTCTAATTCAAGGTCAATAGACAAAGCATTTTCTTGCAACCTCAATGAAAAAGTTGAACCTTCACAGTCGCTCCATGGCTCGGGCCTGATTCGAACAGGCTTCCCTGCTGATATCTCCTAGAGGCATCACATGGAACACAGGTGTGGATCATCCACCACCAAGCCTTTCCTACTTCAACCTCAAGGTCAATACACACAGCACTTTCCTGGGACTGGGTTAACAAAATGTTGGACATAGTCACGTCTTGGTGTTCCATGGCTCGGGCCTGATTCGAACAGGCTTCCCTGCTGATATTTTTTAGAGCACCTCCATGGAACACAGGTGTGAACCATCCACCACCGAGCCTTTACTACCTTTCAATACATTCCTGGGAACAGTTTAATAAAAAAAGTTGTCGACTCACGCCACCCAACAACTCGGGCCTGATTTGAACAAGCTTTCCCTGCTTAAATCTATCACTGATCTTCCACAGAACACAGGCATGGACCATCCGCCACCGAACCTTTCCTACCTCTCATTTGAAGTCAATACATGCAGCAGCATTACTTGGGTCGGTTCAATAAAAGGGTTGACTGATGAGAACACTGTATGGCTTGGGCCTGATTCGAACAGGCTTCTCCTGCTTGAAGAGATACCATTTGACTACAACATACAGGTGTGAACCATCCACCACCGAGTCTTTCCCTCCTCTAGTTTAAGCTCAATACATGACACATTTCCTGGGAACAGTTTAATAAAAAGGTTGTGGATCAAAGCTTTCATGGCTCGGGCCTGATTTGAACAGGCTTTCCCTGCTTAATGTGAGGAAACCCATGCATAACTTACAGGTGTGGATCATCCACCACTGAGGCTTTCCTACCTCTAATTCAAGGTCAATACATGTAGCTTTTTCTTGAGACTAGTTCAAAAAGGTTGATTTAGCATTGTCATGGCTTGCACCTGATACAAACAGGTTCCTCCTGCATAGTAAGAGGAAAGCGATCTACAACATACAGGTGTGGACCACTACCAAGTCTTTCCTGCCTCTGATTCATAGCTGATTCATGTAAAATTTGCTTGGGTTGATTCAACAAGATAGTTGAACTTTTGCTGCTCCATGGCTCGAGCCTGATTCGAACAGGCTTCTCCTGTTTAAATCTAGAAGCCCAGAGACCCAGAGAGCACAGGTGTGCACCATCCACCACCGAACCTTTCCTATGTCTAATTTAAGGTCAATACATGCTGCACTTTCTTGGCCCAGTTTAATAAAAAGTTCGAAGTAGAGCACCCCATGGCTCGGGCCTGATTCGAACAGGCTTCTCCGGCTTAAATCGATTTTCACGTTCTCTCAGAAGACAGGTGTGGACCATCCACCACCGAGCCTTTCCTAACTCTAATTCAATGCTGATACATGCAGTATTTCTTGCAACTGGTTCAATAAAAAAGTTGATGAACATGATGACTTCGCCCCATGGCTCAGACCTGATTCGAACAGGTATCTCCTGCATAATAAGAGGTAACTGACTTACAACACAACATACAGGTGTGGACCATCCACCACTGAGCCTTTCCTACCCCAAATTTAATGTCAAATAAAAAATATCAACACATGCAGCATTATCTATTTCCTTCCCAAAGAAAAAACATTTACACCAGAAATCACATGGCTCGGGCCTGATTTGAACAGGCTCCTCCTGCTCAATACAGGAGATAACATGTCTACAACATACAGGTGTGGACCATCCACCACCGAGCCATTCCTACCTTTAATTTATCAATACATGCAGCATTTCTTGGGCTGGTTCAATAAAAAGGTTGGTTACCAAGACTAGTCTCATGGCACGCTGGGACTCGAGTCGTCATCGCTTGCCTGCATGTTGTGCTGGGAGTGGTTGTGGAGGAGCAGGTCGGGAGGGTCGCTGGGATCGAGTCCTAGGTCGTCGTTCATTAGCGTTGACATGGCTTGAGGCAGAAATATTAATATTCGTCAAAAGTCACGCCAGAACAATCGTGCCATTATTGGTGGCTTGTCCTTGCTTAATCTGTCCTCGGGCCGGGGTTACCGTGATGGGGCCCCTATTTACAAGCAGAGGGAAGGAAGATTCGGGCTTAACCCTGGCTGTGATATGAACAGTTCAGGTGTAAACCCACGCTGCATTTGAGCTGCATGTACATGTTAGAGTACTGTATCATTTTGACCAAGTGTTCATTTCTCGGCAACAAGTTGAGGGGACCCACCTTTGGCGGGTGTTTTGCTGCATAATCTGTGCTCACAAAGACACAGTGGACTCCAAGCTCGCCTGTTTTGGCCCTCGCTAACGCTCGGAGATCTCGTGGGAAGAAGCATGTGACTTATATCACATGATTTTCACGTGGTGGCAGTGCTCTTCGTGTTTTAAAGTATAGGATCATGCAAAATCTCCATATATGGACGTCCGACAAGTGTCAGATTGCATTTTTTTTGCATTTTCCAGCCCAAAATGTGAGTGTCACCGTTGTGAGCTGTCACTTTGTGATGCGCTCCAAACGCAGCCAAATGGAGGAAAAACAAGCTTTCACAATTGCGACTCTGTATCCAAGAACCTCTGAATAAAAAAGACTCACACCATTCCACAAGGCCAGACCCTGAATCGAATGGAGACCTTGTGAGGAAACATTGCAGGCACTGTATTTGTCTCGCATGCGTTACCACTCCGCCACCTGGCCATGATTAGGGTGGAGAGCCCCCACAAATGGACAAAACCGATACGGACATGAATTAAATAAAAACCCGACTTTCACGCCCAAGGCCGGACCCCGAATCAAACGAGGAACTTGCAAACGAAAACTTGGGAGATTCAAGTAGATTGCGCGTGTTACCATTGCACCACCCGGCCATGATTCCAATAAGCAAAACGGGAAGCTAACTCATAAAAAGCTATAGACAGATTGTGGGAAGGCCAAACCCCGCATCGAATGGAGGTCCTGCGGTGAGTAGGTCAAGAAATTGTTCTCAATTCAACCGCAGGTGCTACCAGCTGCACCATTTGACCGTGATTCGGGGATGCATTGTTCACCTATAATTCGGACTCCAGTCTGGAAACGGAAGCACAACTAAATTCAATACGGAGGCGGACCGGCATACGGAGTGGGCTCTTGGGAAATGGGGTGACCAAATGGGAAAAGGAGATGGCACGAGGCAAGTCTGAATCGACTGTCAGCCCCTTCAAACACAGGGAGCGCATGGAGATTGACACAGCGAGTCATTATGCGGCACACCACCAAACAGCCAGTAGCCTAACTTGGCTTCGTGCAACTGTTCATATTCGGAGTTCAAACGCATATCCTTGCGAGGAACCCGCCACATCGTATATGGAAGGCCTATCCTACATATTCATACCATTTCCCCCATTCAATTTGCACACTTCACCCCCGAATCTTCGAAACGGAAGTAACTCCGTTTCAGGGCGTTCACCAACAGAGAAACCAGGCTACGAATGGAATTGCTATAGCCGTCCGTATAGTTTTACACTGTTCTGAAGAGACCTGCCGTCTGATACGCTCGAGACGGGTGGATAAAGTATAAACAGATAACCCAAGTACCCCGGAACGGAACAGCATTCCTCTTACCCACCCAGAATTATGTCAATCGGTTCAACAATGAGGGAGTAATGAGCTAAAAACCCGGTAGGGTTCAATATGCTCTTTCTTCAAAAAAATAGGGGTAGTGCCATTAGATTTGCAAACAGCTGTAAATAAATAGATTTTCAAACAAACAACAAACACAGGGAGTACATAAAACAAAAGAGGCTAGGACTGCATATAATGGTTTGAAACTCAGACTGCAATCAACTTGATCTGTTCTTCCTCCAACCCAAGCTCTTCAGTATCACTATCCACTTCCTCCACCTTCCTTGTAGGAACATTGAGCTCAGCCAACTGAGCCAAATTCTTTCGGTGCTGCTCTTTTGTCTCCTCACTGATATCACCAACCCTCTCATCAATGTCCTGAACTCTCTGGGCTTGTGATGAGCACTCAAAGAGTGGCTTTGCAGTTTCCCACAGTTCCAGTGCCTTCAGCGCATCACCATTTTTCTTAACAATGTCCCCAAGTCGAATGATACACTCTGCCCTGCTACGGTGGACATCCATGTAGGTAAATCCATCCAAGGCAACAGTGAACAGGCTGACAGCGCTGACTTCATCGTTCTGTATGAGGTGGACATCTCCAATGAATTGCAAAGCCTTGTAAATTCCGAGCTTCTCCTTTACCCTAAGGGAGTGTGCAAGTAGGATTATACTCCATGAGGGATCATGGTGTGGGCTCCAGCGAGTGACATCTGCTAGTCTCTCCAGACAGTAACTTACGAGCTCAGGAAACTGTCCCAACCTGGCAGTTTTGAGACATTTGCAAAACAGGGAGCATGACATATCTCCTTCTCTGAGATTCAGATCGGCTTGAACCATATCACAGGCGGTCAACATCATCTTTTGTCCGCCAATTTTGTTGAAAATGGTTTGTGATGCACATATTTTCTCCTGGATCACTTCACATGAAACTCCCATGGGGACCTCAACTCCAGCAATATTTATCAAGGAAAGACCCTCATAATTCAACACCCCCCCCTGATAGGTCTGTAGGAGTTGTCTACAGAGGTTATGAGCATCAGCATACTCTGATTTGTATGCATGAACTTCTGCCTGGCAGTTCATCAGGGCATGATTCAAGTCCCCCTGGGACAGACCACACAGCTCTAGGAGAGCAGTGGCCCTTTTGACAAGAAAGATGCATTCACGATAATCACCCAACATTTGGCAGCACAAAGCCTCAGTGGATAATCCGTGTGCCTCGTGTTGTAAATTCCCAGACATCTTTGCAAGTCTCTGTGCCTCCTGTGCATAGGTCCGGCCAGTGATATAGTCACCAGTTTGCCATTCAATCCATGAAAGCCGATCTAAGGCTGCAGATTGTTCTTCGATATTTCCATGTGACTTGGCCAAGGAGAGGCTCATTTGACAATATTTCAGAGCAGTGGGGATATCAAGCTTCGAGTAATAGTTGCCTAAACGAGTGTAAAAGGTGGCTACGGTATCTTTGTCAGTACCCATCATGGTTAAACAGAGAAAGTGAACATACCTTCCAAATCAGGATCATCCAAAGTCTTCAACCACTCCAAAGTCTGAGCAATCAGTGCCTCAGGATGGGGGATTGAATAGAATCTCTGGCTACTAAGTAACCTAACAGTGAAGGATGCTTTGGCCTGATGGTCCTCTGAGTGCGGGAGGAGGGCGAGTACCTTATCCACCAAAGGTATTGCACCTTTACCAATATTTCCACTGAATCGCATGAAGTGAGATGTGCAGGAGATGCTATCCGCTAGATTGGGGTGCCCTGGGTGTAGTCCATTCTGGATAATGTTTGGAATATTGGTATAATTTGAATTCAGTCGTTCAACATAGAGGGCTGATGATTGTTTTCCCAAATCAACTGCATACACTTGCAGGACCTCCTGGAAGTGTTTGAAAAGGGGTCCAATCATTTCATCTGTTGGTGGCCGGAATTTTACCATGTATTCTCTGATTGGTATCAGAGCCTTGAGCCGCTTGTGGCCATCAAGGTAAGCCAGAGCAGTGCGAAGCAGGGCCCTTCTACAATCAAGGATATCCTGAATTGCAAATTTGCTTTGCTTCAGTTCTACATCTGAGAGCCCATCCGGAAGGATTGACAAGAGACTCAGAAGCTCCTGGGAGTGAGGTGTGGACGTGATTCTAGGACTTTCAAGTGAAAGTGAGATAGATGATTCAAGATTGGATCTTTGGTCATAACCCTCTGATATGACTGAGGTATGCTCCCTCTGCCAGCGCAACAGGATTGCAGTGGTGCCCTCCACATCCACTGCATGAGCAAGAAGGTTGATTGAAAGTGGCATATTGTCTGTAAGGCTCAAGACTTGATCAACTTCGGCAATTGGGTGTCTATCTTCTGCGATATCAATAAAAATCTTGCGTGCCGCCTCTTGTGCCAAAGGCTCCAGAGGGGGCAGGAATGGCCGTGTCCATTGCACTTTGGAGGGTCTTTCTGCTCCTCGCATTGTAATCTTGGACTTCATGAGCAAAACAAGTACACAAGAAGAAATGAGAATACACACCATCAACGCAAGACTAGTTATATCCGTGAGCAGGGAGAGAAACTCCTCAACTTCTTTGCGAGATTCCGCTGGCTCCCAGACAGTCTCGAGGTTATCAAGAATCAGCAAAGTGGGTGACCCCTCCAAAAGATGGTAGAGCACTGCTCGAGTCAAGTCTTTCCCAGGTTTCATTCCGAGATGAGCCCCAATAAGACCTGCAATTTCCACCTTGCTTACTGCAGTGTCACAGGCAACAAACAACCGATTTCCCTGGTATTTGATAACAATTTCTTCATGATGTAAGAGAGCTTGTGCCAAACTGGTCTTTCCCATGCCACCAGCACCCAGAATGGCTATCCTCGGAGTGCTTTGTTCAAAATGTTTGAGGATATCAGCAAGCTCTGATTCACGGCCATGGAATATTTTGGGTTCTGCTGGCAGCATTGAGATGGAGTTGGAGCTATGATATCCATGAGCATTGACACAAAAGGACCAAAGTTATTGGGGATCACCTTGCATATGAACCAGAATACATCCAGCTAATCTGTGTGTCTGTTATTATCGCTCTTATCAACAAATATCCTCACATACAGATGATGCTGAGTCTGAACTGGATATTGTCTCAATTGCATTCAGCACCTCCTGATGTCTGATCTGGGCCTGTTCTTCCATTTCTCTGGCAGTGGACATGATATCTGAGGATTTAACCTGCAAACCACCTTGAGTGGGTAGATTTACTTTCATACGTGCAGTGCTTGCCTGAAAGAACACAAGTCCCCGTTGCAATCCTGTCTTGCAATCCTTTAGCAGCCCACTCAATTCCCCCTTTCGGAAGAACTTCTTGACTTTGCTGCCACTTTGCTGGGCCTCAATAAATGTATAAATCTTGTGGAGGGTCCTAAATGTGTTGTGTGAGCCATGTGCATGTGTATGGGAGTGGAGGGTTACTGAGTGAAATTTGCAATTTCATGCAATGTGCTGGGTGGTAGTTCGATACCGGTGTCTGACTTGACATAGACACCAATAATTGCATTGAGGATGTTGTGAGTCTGCTCCATCAACTCAGCACACTCATTTTTGTCTTGTTTGATGGTCTAGGGCAACATCTGAGAGCCATGCTGATCAATTTATTTTGGGAATATACCTGAACAAATTTCAAAAGCGACTGTGTGGTATTTACCATGGCTTCCAGCCCAGGGATCTTCAACGTGTTGACTAGGACGTTGAGTGTGTTGACCGTGATGGTAACACATTTTGAAATATTCTCCAAGCGGACTTCAATCATGGTTTGTTGATGAGGCATGATGGGAAAGGGTTGTGTCAGGTGGGATCCTTGCAGGCTTTATACATTCGGGGTCTTGGGAACTTTTGCTCTCATTGGATACTGTTCATCTTTTCTTCTGCTGTGTAGGTCTGATGATCCATCCAAATACATCTAGATCTGTCTTTGATATTCCACTAGATCCTCCAAAAATATGCAATGCAGTCTAGGTATAGGGCAAACCGGGCAACCTATGTAGGTACTTGTCTGTATATCATTTGTTGACATTGTCTGCAACTCTTCTTTGCTCAGCCACTTCAACACCATTCAGATCCAAGGAATCACCACATGAACCACTCAAAAGCTGTTTTATATTCCCACCCAAGTGCTGGGACAACATACAAGCAACCATATTTATTTATGCACTACATAAAGTGGTAGCACATGACGCGCCCCACGAGACTTTTGTTTCAGAACATGTTGGTTGGTCTGTGCAAAGCACATCTTG